AGGCAGGCCGGTAATATCAATACGCCCATCAGCGAGGCTGGCTCGGGAACAAGTTCTAGCTGGGGAGCCCAGCACAGCCGCCCAGGGCAATCCCCGAAGTGAGGCGGCTTGCAAACATGCAGGTCTTGAATAAACCCACACGGACTTCACTCCCAGGTCACTGTTCTGTTCCCTGTTTAACACTGACAGCGAGGCGCTGGGCTCTCCTCCCACCATGAGCAGCCACGGGAAAATACTCAGGAGAAGGTGGCAGCCATTGGCCAGAGCTGCCTCGAGGGAGCCACACAGCACACCTGAGGCTGCTCCTGCACCCTCTGCTCTGGCCAGCACCGGGGCTGGCGCTCAGGGCAGGAGCCAGGAGGGAAGAGGAGAAGGTTGTGGATGAGGGGCTTCTAAGGCCAGTGGCTTCTAGCATTTGCCATCAGCCCAGCTCACCCCCAACCTGCTCCACCCCTGCTAGCTTGCAAGGTACAGCTTTTTCCTAACCTCTCCACCCCCATGTGCCTTTGACAGTCATTTGAACTTGATTGCATCTGGATAAATCTGTAAAGGAGGAACGAGGAATGGAGGAGGGAGAGCGTGGGTAAGGTGGCCTCTGCCCCCTCTGCAGGGTTGGGTGCAGTGCAGCAGCTGACAGAGCCCAGCTGTGCTCCAGACAGAGCTGGGTTCACATTAATCACTGGCTGCATAGCTGCAAGTTCAAGTTCATCATCTACAAAATGGAGGTAAAGGCATCTGCCTTCTACGACTGCTGTCATGATGAACTGAAATGAAGCACGCAGAGTGCCTGGTGCCTGAAACACTGCTTCCCTCTCCTCTGCACTTCCAGGGGCTCCTCCTGGTGCCACTCGGGGTACACCACTGTTCACTGCGGCAGAGCTGACAAAAGGCGGCTGTGTATCCAGCTTGCATCCCCTTGCATGGGCTGTGGCGATAAGCAAATGAAATGGAATACACTTGAATACAAAAAGCCAAGTAGCATTTTCTGATCTGTGCTGGCCCTCAAAGGAATTTACTGAAATAGTGAAAGAAAAAGGAAAAATTGGGCCTGTGCTGTGGTGCAGCATGTGAAAGCCCTGGACTGTGGCGCCAGCACCCCATACGGGCGTCAGTTCAAGTCCCGGCTGCTCCTCTTCTGATCCAGCTCTCTGCTGTGGCCTGGGAAAGCAGTAGAAGATGGCCCTAGTCCTCACACCCTGCACCCACGTGGGAGACCGAGAAGAAGCTCCTGGCTCCTGGCTTCAGATCAGCTCAGCTCTAGCTGTTGTGGCCGTTTGGGGAGTGAAACAGTGGATGAAAGACTCTCTCTCTCTCTCTCTCTCTCTCTCTCTCTCTTTCTCTGTCTCTTTCTCTCTCTCTCTCTCTGTAACTCTGTATTTCAAGAAAAACAAATCTTAAAAAAGAAAAAGGAAAAGTCATCCTTGCCCTGTGCATGATCTGATGGAGGCGGGTTGTGGTGTCTGATCCCAAGATGTTTGGGTGGGACCTTGAACAGCCCAGAGGGGTTGCAGCTGAGCCTCCCTCCAAGAAAAGCCCTGGAACCTCCTGAGACTCACCGCAACCTTGCCTAGAGAACCTCAAAATCCCCTTTTGTGTCTGCTCACCCAAGATATCACCCCAACTCCTCACCCCGCCCCCCCCCTCCCCGGAGCCTTCCAAAATCACCAGAACTGATTGCTTTGGACATGGAAAGGAGACCTCACAGGTGCCTCACAGAGCTCGTTATTTCTGCAGGACAAAGGGGAAAATCAAAGCTTCTAGTAACCGCATGGAGGGCCACATAGACGCACGCGGGTGGCCCTGACTGAAGGAAGGCCTCTCCCTGCAGCCCCACGCCCCGCAGCAGGTGCAGCCTACCTGGCCCGTCGTGCACATAACACGGCTCAGGCAGCCTGCTACTGCGTTTCACTCCTGCAGCCACCGCCGCCGCCCGCTTCACCCTGAACTTGAGATTATCCAAGGTTCTGAGCCCATTACGGCTCTGTCTTCACAGTCAAAGGCAAGAGAGGAAGAGAGGTAATCACTCAGAACCCCCCCTCGCACTGACTGGCCTGCGTCCCACCTTTGCTGTGCACAGAAGCAGATGTGCTCCTGGGTTCTTGCTCCCTCCTCACCACCAAGTTTATACCAGAGCTGGGGGAGGGGACGCCAGGTGTCCAGTCGCTCTGGAGAGTCCACAGCCTCCACTGTCAGACCTGGGGGTGTCATGGGGGAGAGGCTCCGGGACCTCAGGCAGCAGTGAAATACTGCCATTTAGAGTTCTCTAATCCGCTGAGCAGAAATTTCCCGATTTAAATTGTGCTCACCCAGGCATGATGAATGGGCTCAGACAGTCTTGAGTTCGCTCCAGCTCCTGTTGCCGGCGGTCAAGTCCTTACTTGACTTCACAGTCTACACCCTCACCACCTCAGGACCGAGCTCAGCTGCCAGCTGGGTACCCACAGACAGACAGACAGACAGACTCTCACTGCCCTGTGGGTTCCTGGCCCTCTCCTCTTAACAGGTAAGGAAAACAGCACAGCGGAGCAAAGAGACTATTAAGTGGGCTTGAAGTCACCTGGACCTGAGCTAGGGTCTGACCTCTCCACCTCCCAGGTGGGAGACCCTGAGCAGGTCTCCATACCTCCTGGGACTCCCGGGATGCTGGAAGGGGCTGATGGTGATGTTTAACAGAGAATGGAATAAACATCTCTCAGTGTGTGTCACACACAGTCTCCAGCAAAAGCAAAAAAAAAAAAAATTGCTGCTCACTCCACCAATGGCTGCTGAGTGTTTGCAGTGTGCAAGGCCCTATTTTTGACCCCAAAAATGACTCTGAAAGGGGGACCACAGAGGTGTGCTTCTCCCAGGCAGCTGTGGCTGCTCAGATCACCCTGTGCTGGTCGGTGTGGAGCCACGGGATGGTGACGCTTGGCTCCTGGTCCAGGGATCTCTCGCTGACTCCAGTTGCTCTTCGGAGAGTAGAGAGATTAGGGCAGGTGCCATCGGCTCTGATGAATGGTGACTTCTGTTCCATCAGAGTTAGGTGAGGATTGCTTGCTTAGAGCACCCTCCCCCACCCATGTGTCCTCCTCCCCCCACCCCATCTAAACAAAACCGGCAGAAGCTACTGCTCCCACTGCCACCTGCAGATCAGATGCACTCAACTCATTCTCATTGGCTCCCCCGACTGCAGCACGAGGAAGGGGATGTTCTGAACGCGGGAGCTGGCTCAGGACTGTGGTTCTGACACGTTCCATGAGACCCCAGGTCCACAGAGGTGCCCTGGGGGCTCTGACCATCGGCACAAATGGACCTCAGTCCTCCGAGTTCCCACTCAACCGCAGCAGTGCCAGCTCTTACCTCCAGGGCTAACTGGTGGGAGATCCGGTCTATTTATGGTGGGCTTCCACAGAAAATTTCATTTGAAATGAGGATTTGCTCCTCAAAGAAAAGCAAAGGTTGCGATTCATCTTTTTTCACTCAAGACTGTTCTGAGCACAGAACATAGCCGTGGTCTCTGTAGGCATTAGGGACAGGGGTGGGCAGCCCTGCTCTGAGCCAGGAGGAGCCACGGCACATCTCCTGCTCCATGCAGACACACGTCGGCACCTGCTGTGTGCAGAGCCCTGGACCGAGCTGCAGGTGGCTAAAAATGAAAATGGCAACAATCCTTGTCTGCTGAGACATCAGAAGGCAGAGCAGGGCCCGCGACTGCTCCTGCAAGCAGCCGGTCTGGTCCTGGGGCTGTATGGCCTCGTGCTGTTTGTGCCCCTCTGCTTATGGGCTCCATCCTCCACCCTCAGTCAGACCGAGAACCACTCCTCACCCAGCAAGCGCTAAGTGGTAAGCACCTACCACACACGCCAGGCATGGCAAAGGCTCCCAACCTCGTGGGAGAGAGGGCAGGGATGCCTGCGTGGGGTAACTGATCTCCTCTGGGAACTGGGAGCCAGCAAAATGCCACAAAGGCAGTGCCATTTAAGCTTCATCTTGCAGGGAGGAAAGCAGCTCCCCGTAGACCTCTGTCGACTTCCCCGAGGTTCCGTCCAGCTTCCCAGAGGCCAAGGTCGCCAGAACAGGCAGGGGCGAGGGAATGGAACAGTGAGCGCGGCTCCGAGGCCTCCTGGATCTGAGAAGAGCGACCTGCACCGGCTCCCAGGGAGAGGGCCTGTGTCCAGGCTGGGATGGGTCCAGCAGCCAGCCAAGGCAATGCAGGGAAGACAGAGGGCTTGGGGCAGACTGGCAATGAAAGGGAGGGGAGGGAGCAGGCAGAGGGAGAGGCAAAAAGCAAAAAGTGCTGAGGAGCTGGGAGAGAGGCACAGGGCTGGACTGCAGGGTACCCCACCACCGGCACTGTGATGTGCAGATCCCATGCTCTCCCCAAAGGAGAGCGACGGCTGACGCCTCCCTTCTCTCTCAACCCCAAAGTCTGGGTCCCCACAGCGTGTGCTATGGGCAGCTGGGGCAGCTGGAGCCACCGGATACCGGGAAGGGGTGGCTGAGGCCTGGCTGGGTCGGCGAGGTCTGGCAGCTATGACCCACACCTGGCGCTCACGGAAGCCTGACCTCAGCACTCGCCCCTCACCCAGGCATGTACCGACAGGATCAGGTGGAGGCACAGGTATGAATAAGGGCAAAGGACGGATCCGCGCGCGCACACACACACGCACCGCTCCGCACACGAAAGGGCCCCCCGGGGGGCCGCCCGCCTAAGCCGAGCTTGGGCGAGAGGCGGCTGGGGACGCGGCTTCCTCCGGGGGAAGCCGCCCTCCGCTTCCTTCGCTTCCTCCGCTCGAACGCTGTGAATGAACCCTGGGAGAGGAAGAGAGCGCGCGCGAGCTCGGGGAGGGGAGAGGAGAGGGGCGCCGGGCGGGGGCCGAGGCGCGAGGGGCGGCGCCGAGAGGAGCGGGGCGCGGGCCCGGAGCGCGGCGGCGGCGGAGGCGCGGAGGGCGCGGGCGGAGGCGCGGGCCGAGCCGGGAGGGCGGGCCGAGAGGGAGGAGCCCCCGGCCGCCGCCGCCAGCCCGCCCGGCGGCCCGCGCAGCCCGCACTCGCCGCCGCGCCTCGGAGTTTGAGCCCCGGCGCGGCCGGAGCGCAGGCACACGCCCGGGGCGCAGGGTCGGAGCGCTCAGCGCGGCGCCGCCCCCCGGCCCTCGGCCCCCCGGCCCCGGCGCCCCCGGAGCGGCGCGCGGAGGGAGGAGGGCGCGGCGGGCCGGGCCGGCGGGCGGCGGACTATGAGGCGCCCACCATGGTGCGATGCGACCGCGGGCTGCAGATGCTGCTGACCACGGCCGGAGCCTTCGCCGCCTTCTCACTCATGGCCATCGCCATCGGCACCGACTACTGGCTCTACTCCAGCGCGCACATCTGCAACGGCACCAACCTGACCATGGACGACGGGCCCCCGCCCCGCCGCGCGCGCGGCGACCTCACCCACTCGGGGCTGTGGCGGGTGTGCTGCATCGAAGGTACCGGACCCCTCCCCCCGCGCGCACACACCGCACACACCGCACACACGCGCGCACACACGGGCACACACGCGCGCGTGCACTGCCCGGGCGCGGGCCGGGGGATGGGTGGGCGCGGCGCCGGTTCCGCGAGAGACACAAAGGACCCGGAGCGGGCTGGCGGGTCCCCTCGCGGCCGGCTGTGCACCAGCTGGGGTCCCTTCCTGCCGGGGACCTGCCCGACACACCGATCCCGCAAACTCTCGGCTCGCACGCGCACACCCCCTCGCGCACGGCCACAATGAAACACACGGAAAACTCGCGCGCGCCCGCTCGCGCGCGCAGCCCGAGACCCGAGCGGTCCCCAGGGGCCGCGCCAGCACCCCCGGGGGAGGTGGAGGCTGGCGTGGGGGCGGGAGGAGGCTGGGGGTGGGGGGAGCGGACGACCGAGGAGGGGAGGGGGAGGGGAGGGGTTGCTTGGCAACCGGTGTCTGTGCCATTGCTATGGGAACTGGCCATCCTGGGGCGGGGCCGGCCGGGGGCGGGGAGCAGCCGGGACCGCTCGGCGCGCGCTCCGGGCCCGGGCCGAGGGTGGGGGCGGGGTAACGAGCCCCTGTCCAATGCCCCTGTCCGACGCCTGCCTCCTCCTCCTGCGCGGAGTCCCCAGCCCCGCCCCTCCCTGCGCTGTGCGGAGGTGAGGGGCTCGACACTGAGTGTCCCCCCCAGGGGAGGCCGCGAGCTCGGGGTCGCGGCTCCGGGGCAGGGACCTCTGTGGGAGACAGGGGTGCGCAGGGGCCATCGAACGCTGGGAATGGCCTGTGAGGGGCGTGGTCGCCCGGGCAGGGCGCGGCGACCCCCAGGTGCGCGAGGAGGCCCCCTAGCGGGTGTGCTGAGGGTGGAAGGTATCGGGGATGGGGGCTGGATGGGGTCTCCCAGAGCGCTGGGAACGGCCCCGTCGCGGGAGGGGCTCCGACTCCGAAGCGCGCTCGGCTCGGTCGCCTCCTGGGCGCCCCCACGCCCAGCTGCGGAACTTGTGCTAACAGGTGGCTGTGCAGGGGCAGTGTGGCCCCGACAGGTGTGGACGCCCGCGATGGCCTTGGGTCGGGGAGCTGCGGGAGCGCTGCTTTGCTGTTTCGGGACCATCTCTGGACAGACTGTCCTGCTCCCTCGTGCCCTTCCCAGGGTGTGGACTCAGCCCTCGGCTGGACCGGTTCCCCGTCCACCCCGCCCGCCTCACTGCAGCTACAACCCTTCCTCCAGCGCTGGCTCCTAGAAACACACCCACGGGCGAGACTTTGTGAGGCTGGGGCTGGGGGGCGACGGGTGACGTTGAACTTGCCCCCTTTCCCCCTCACCAGCCTTTGGCTGCCCGCCTCTGTCCCCGCCTCCACGCCCAAATGAGGCTGAGCTGCCCTTTAGCCAGGGCTAAATAGAGCCCTCAGGCAACAAAACCGTGCCATCAGCAGTTCGGGGTCCCAGTCGCACCCGGCTCTTGTCTTTGGAGAAGTGGTGTTTCCGTGTAGTGGCTCAGATCATGAATGCCTACCCGCTCCTGTCGTCTGGACAATGTGCCCATGGCACTACCTGCCACAGCACCTGAGCTCAGCACCTGCCCCCGTCTTAGGTCTCACGGGCTCCTCCAGGTCCTGCCTGCGTGGCACGTGAGACACCCCATGGTCACCCTCCCCCCAACGCACTCGCGTGAGGCCCCTGCCTCTTCCAGTTTCCCAGCGGAAATTGGAACGGACTCCTGGACGCTGGCAAGCCCAGCTTGCACGGACAGACTCGAATGCCTCCTTTATTAATTCCTCATCCTAATTAGGATTGATGCTGCACTAAGCATCTTGCCAGCTGCCTGGAGTCGTTTGCACTCGCTGCTCATCAAGAGAGCCCCGAGCCGATGTGGGCAGCTGGCTGTGCTGGCGCAGGGAGCCATCTGGGGGACTCGCTGAAGGAATTAGGCAGGCTCCATGGTGCGCCAAAGCTGAGGGGTCCTGAGGGCCAGCCAGGTCACAGCCAAGGGCCAGAACATCCTGCTAGGTCACAGGGCCATGGTGAAAGTCACGGCAGTCCCTGGGCCTGGGTGGGTGCTGTGGGGACAGCCAGCGCATCTCAGGAACACGCATGGTCGGGGCCGACAGCTCACAGCCCTGGGATGCTTGCCCTGTCCGCAAGTGGTCAGGACAGAGAGCTGGACAGTACAAGAACCCCAGGCCACTCCCTGGGAGCTCCAAGGGGTGGAGTTACCTCCATGTTGGCTTTTGGGTGTAAAATGCGTTATTTCCACCTGCTAAAGCTCTGGGTGCAGGGGTGGGACTCTGAGGGTTTGCTGGCAGCTCGCATGCAGGGAGTCCGTTTCCTGGTTGTTTCCCGTAACTGACACTGCTGGGCCAGCAGAGCCCAGCCCTCTCTGTGTACTTACGGTGTCTGTGCCGTCTGGCAGAGCTGTGTGCGGTAGACGGCTGCTCCCAGGCTCACCAGGGCTGACCTCACCCCTGCCTCGTCCACGCCTCCTCCCCGCAGGCCTGTGCACCCTGCGAAGCTGCTGTCTTCACCCCCATCCCCAGATGAGGGAGTGAAGCTCAGAGGGGTGGGAGGACTAGCCAGAGGCTCGCAGGTAGGAAGCAGCTGGACCGGATTTGAGCCTGTCTCTTGACAAAACTCGTCCCACTGTGTCAAGCTGCCCTTTCCCAAACGGCTTCTGGGTTGCCATTAAAAATAGAACCAAGTACTTGGCTACCCGGTGGAGCCTGGTCGAACGCTGGACTGGCAGCAACTTGAAGGCATTTAAAAGTGGGCATGTACACCTGCCACTCGAATTGCATAACACACTTCTCCCTCTCTCTCCCTGTGTGTGTGTGTGTGTGTGTGTGTGTGTGTATTTGAAAGGCAAAGAGGGAGGGAGGGAGAAATAGAGGGAGGGAGAGAGATTTCTACCCACTGGTTCACTCCCCACATGGCTGCGACAGCCGGGCCAAAGCCAGGAGCCAGGATTTCCATGCAGGCCTCCCACGTGGGTGGCAGGAGCCCAGGATCTGAGTCATCACTCGCTGCCTCCCAGGCTGCACACAGCAGGACGCTGGGACTGGAAGCAGAGTCAGGACTCTACCCCAGGCCCTCCAAGCTGGCTTCTCTTCTGATGTTAGAGTCTGCCTCTGCCTCTGTTTCTCTCTTCCTCCAGGGGCTAAGCCGTCCCCACGGCAGCCAGGCATCTGCTCCCGGCAACCTCAGCTTGTCCTTTGTGCTTTTGGCGACACCCAGCTGGGGACACGTGCACCTGGGAGCTGGGCGCGTGTAGGATGTGAACAGTCACTGTGGAGCCCGTTCTCCACGTCAGGGCAGAAGACCTCACACGCCGAGGCCCCCACCCACCTGCACTCCCCGTGCTAGCACAGTCAAGGCCTGCGTGGGACCCAGTCCCAGGCTCAGAACGCACGGCCCCTCCCCTCCCGTATCGCCATCAGCACGGCAAGGAGGCAGCGCTGTCAACATCGCCGTGGCCCCTGCGCCAGCTCCATGCTGGGCTCTAGTGGGGGAAGGTGCACAGAAGCTTCTAGAACTTTGCCCCAGTAATGTCCGCCTTTCTCACCTGGGCGACATCCTTCCCGCCAGCCTTTACTCACACTGTGGCCCACGGAGAAAGCAAATCATGGCACTGTACCCTGGCGGACAGGAGGGAGGGGACAGCCACGGATGTGCCCCTCCTGCCCCCCCCCCCCACACACACTGTGGTCTGGCTGCCTCCAGGTGCCCACAGGTAGGGGGCGCCTCACTCTTCCAGCACACCTGGAGTTCTCCAATGGTAGAGCTAGGCCTTGAACCATGCTCCCGGCACAGGACTGTTCTGAGAGGCTTCATCCAAACCACGGCCTCTCTCTACCACTCCAGACCAGGCCTGAGGCTGGGCACTTCTCCTAGGTGTGTCTGCCTTCCTCTTGCCATGACTGCCAGTGGGGCTCAGGTGGGTGACAGCAGCCGCACCCCGCCCACTGTGCCGGTGCCACCAGCCAAGTCCCCTCCCGCTCAGGCCCTGTGCTGTGAGTAACACAGCCATAGTTGGAGAAGACCTCCAGGCAGGATTCACGTGGAAGCGTGCGTTTGCCTGCAGCGCTCCAAGATCTGTGTTAATTTTCTGAGCAGAAAATGGGGCTGAAGACAGCCCCAGCTCCTGGGTGTGGGTGGCAGGGCTGGGTGCCTTCCACTGTCTGAGGTGCGACAAAGCGGCTTGGCTCTCTGCTGGGGAAATCTTTGATTGGAACCACATAGATTTGGGAAGGGGCAGGCGCCAACAAATAGGATTCACTGGCGGCTGAAACAGCAGATATTTGCTTCTCACGGTTCCATAGGCTGGAAAGTACAAGATCGAGGTGCGGGCCTGTGTAGGTCCTAGACGGGGCTCTCTCTGTAGCCTGCACACGGCCACCCTCTTGCTGTGTCCTCGCAAGGTGGAGAGAGACAGGGAGCTGACTCCTTAGCCTCTTTGGTGGGTGTGAAGCCCACCTGGCCTCATCAAAACCAAACCACCTGCAAAGGCTCCATCTGCAAACCGTTGTTGGCGTGGGGGCTCCACTGTGTGAACCTGGGGGGGGGGGACACGGACGCCCGTTCCTTAGCAGACAGGTTCTCCTTCCCGCCCCGGCTGCACACCTGGAGCCTTCCCGTGATGCTCTGCCCAGTGGCTTCTCTGCTCCCCTCTGCTCTTCATTCCTTCCTCTCTCCTCAAAAGGAAACATCAGCCCCTTTTAACTGGAGTCAGGCGATTTAATGAGGAGAGGCTGGGGGTCCTGGTGGGCCCCAGGCTGGGGTCTGCCTTCATGGGTCCACCACGAAGCTGGCTTTGGAGGAGCCTCGCGTGTCAGGGGCTTCAGGAAAACCAGCAGGGCTTCACGATAAATCCACAGTGCAAGGCTCCGTGGACAGCCCGTGGTCAGGACGCACAGAGTAGCATGGGGGTCTCAGGGAGGGGGACAGCCCAGCCAAAGGGGAGCAGCGGTGTCATGGGAAGAGGACCCAGCGGGCCC